TATCATCTATCTATCTGTCTGTCTATCTGTCTATCATCTATCTATCTGTCTGTCTGTCTATCTGTCTATCATGTCTGTCCATCTGTATCTGTCTATCTGTCTATCATCTATCTGTCTGTCTGTCTATCTATCTGTCTGTCCATCTGTCTATCTGTCTATCATCTATCTATGTCTGTCTATCTGTATCTGCCTATCATTTATCTATCTGTCTATCTATCTGTCTATCATCTATCTATCTGCCTGTCTATCTGTCTATCATCTATCTATCTGTCTGTCTATCTGTCTATCATCTATCTATCTGTCTGTCTGTCTATCTGTCTATCATGTCTGTCCATCTGTATCTGTCTATCTGTCTATCATCTATCTGTCTGTCTGTCTATCTATCTGTCTGTCCATCTGTCTATCTGTCTATCATCTATCTATGACTGTCTATCTGTATCTGCCTATCATTTATCTATCTGTCTATCTGTCTATCTGTCTATCTGTCTATCATCTATCTATCTGCCTGTCTATCTGTCTATCATCTATCTGTCTGTCTGTCTATCTGTCTGTCTATCATGTCTGTCCATCTGTATCTGTCTATCTGTCTATCATCTATCTGTCTGTCTGTCTATCTGTCTGTCTATCATGTCTGTCCATCTGTATCTGTCTATCTGTCTATCATCTATCTGTCTGTCTGTCTATCTGTCTGTCTACCTATCATGTCGGTCCATCTGTATCTGTATCTGTCTATCTATCTATCTGTCTGTCTATCTGTCTATCGTCTGTCTGTCTATCTGTCTGTCTACCTATCATGTCTGTCCATCTGTATCTGTATCTGTCTATCATCTATCTGTCTGTCTGTCTGTCTATCTATCATCTATCTATCTATATCTATCCAGGATCTCTCTCTCTCTCTCTGTCTCTCCATATATGCATACATATATCTTTATTTCCTATTTATTTATTTATGTATTACGTGTTGATGCCACTCATTTCCCCCTACAAGGTGACTTATATTTCTTGCATTTCCCCTCCTAGAGATCTGTGCAGGGGGGTGGGGGCTTAAAGGCTGCCCCCTGCCTGTACCCCAGTTTCCCCACCCACAAATGCAAAGGAAGATTTGATAAAACCCGTCTTTTACTTTCATTTCTTTTTTGCCTCTCGCTCCTTTGCATCACGCCCAGGAGCTCTGGCAGGGAGGAAAATAGAGGCTGGCCCTCTGCCAGCAGCCCCCATTCTTGCCCATGGATGCCATTCCGGGCACAGTTCCTGGGTGTTTATAGTGCTACCGCAGACTGCAGCTGTTCCTGGAATCTCAGCCTGCCAACGCACAGCATGGCGACTGAGTTAGTTTATAGAGCTTCAGCCACCATTGAGGGGTAGAACTGATCAGGAAAACAGAGAGAGCACTTTGGAAATTATAGGGAGGCAGGTTATGGTTTCAATAATCATCCTCCTCCTCCTCCTCTTCCTCCTTCTTCTGATTCTCCTCCTTCCCTTCTCCCTTCTCCCTTTTCTTTCTTCTTTCTCTTCCTCTTCTGCTCCCCATTATTTCCTTCTCCTTCTACTTGTCCTCCTTCTGTCTTCCTTGCTCCCTTCCTTCTTCTTCCTAACTTTTCTGCCCTTTCATCTTTTGTTCTTTTTCTACTTCTTTCTCTTCTCATNCCAGCTTTGCTTTGCTGGCTGAGGAACTCTGGGAGTTGAAGTCCACAAGTCTTAAAGTTGCCAAGGTTGGAGACCACTGTGTTAGGGGATTGCTCTTGGTCACTGGGTAGGGATCAGGTTGGCATCCTCCGTTGGGGAGGATCCAAATTTCAGCAGCCAATGAGAACAGGATGCAAAGCCGGCGGTGGCCTACTTCACACCAAACCGGACCACAGCGGCCTTCTCATGTGGACCCCGCTTTCATATTCTGTGGAGCCTTGTAAGAAACAGAACCTCGAACAGGGGTGGCTCACCTTTTCGTCCTCGTGTGCCGAAAGAATGCATGCGTGAAAGGGGGTATGCACATGCCAACATACACAATACAATGCGCATGCGACACTCGACACCCCCCCCGGCGTGCCCTGCCTCCCCCTGCAAGTGTGCACATGACTCCACCCTCCGTGCTCCCTCCGACCCCCCCCCCATGCATGCGCACGCAAACCCCCCACCACTGCCCCATTTTGGGCCTAGCGGGCGTTGCCTGGGTATTTGTTTATCCCAATCCTATATTAGGCATTCACAAATGTCCAGACCAAACGTAATTTCTAATGTTGGATTTTCCCCCTTACCAGAGGGAGTTCCCTTGTGGAGTACTGGGAAGCCGTTACCATGGCGACTCCACTGTGCTGCGCACTAGAAGCCATTTTAAGGCAGTACAATAGAAGCCATTTTAAGGCACCACAGGCTGTATTATAACAGAACACATACGTACAGACACACACAAATGGACAGACAGACAAATAGATAAGAAGGAAGAGAAGGAGGAGGAGGAGGAGGAGGAGGAGGAGGAGGAGGAGGTGGTACAGAAGAAAAAAGAAGAGAAAAAGAAGAGGAGGAGGAGGAGAAAAAGAAGAGGAGGAGAAGAAGAAGAAGGAGAAGGGGAGAAGAAGGAGAAGAAGAAGAGGGGGAGGAGAAGATGAAAAAGAAGAAGAGGAGGAGAGGAGGAGAAGACAAAAAAGAAGAGGAGGAGGAGAAGAGGAGGAAGAGAAGATGAAAAATAAGAGGAGGAGGAGGAGAGGAGGAGAAGATGAAAAAGAAGAAGAGGAGGAGAGGAGGAGAAGACAAAAAAGAAGAGGAGGAGGAGAAGAGGAGGAAGAGAAGATGAAAAATAAGAGGAGGAGGAGGAGAGGAGGAGAAGATGAAAAAGAAGAAGAGGAGGAGAGGAGGAGAAGACAAAAAAGAAGAGGAGGAGGAGAAGAGGAGGAAGAGAAGATGAAAAATAAGAGGAGGAGGAGGAGAGGAGGAGAAGATGAAAAAGAAGAAGAGGAGGCAGAGAAGAGGAGGAGGAGGAGAAGAAGACAAAAAAGAAGAGGAGGAGGAGGAGAGGAGGAGGAGGAGATGA